AACAACCCTCCAGACAGCAAAAACACTGATAAGAGCTTATAAACAAGAGACTTGGTTTTGAACAGATGGGCCCATGGAGATCACTGGAAGAAGAGGTATTATAGACATATGTCCAGGCCGCTGATCCTATGACCTAATTCCTAATGACAGGCATTAACCATCTAACAAAGAAGGACCAGGCACCATCTTCCAGACCTTAGAAGACGCAAACCATACTCCCACTCAATGGACCACCTAAACAGAATACAGCCACAACCACATCCCCCAGAGTGCCAGCTATGTAACTACCCACCTACGAAACTGTTGACACACCTCGCGTTTGAGTGCCCAAAACTCAGTGAGACAAGAAGAACGTCTAACTCCCTCCGAGACCCAGACAAGTGGAACACCTTGTACGGAGGAAAAGGAACAGCTTGTGAAAGACATCAAATTCCACTACATGGCAATTGGGCCAAAGGCGAAAGCAATCATGGCTCTGCTTGGATTCGATAACAACAACACACAACGTACATACATACATAACATACATACATACAATACTATACCTACAATACATACATACATTACATACATACTACTACATAACATACATACATACCTACATAAATACATACATACCATACATACCTACATACATACATACATACATACTATACATACATACCTGCAATACATACATTACATACCCTACATACCATACGTACTTACATAACATACATACATACATACATCACCATTACATACATACATACATACATACATACATACATACGTACCTACATACCGACATGAATACGTACATACATACATAAATCCATACTAGCGATACATACATACATACATACATACCCTTCATACAGACATACATACATAAATACATTACAATTACATACATACTAACAATACATACATAAATACATACATGCATGACATACCATACATACATACATACATACATAGCATACATAGCATAACATACATGCATACAATACATACATACATACATACATACATACATCCCACACATCCATATGCATACATACGTACATTACATCCATACGTACATACATACATACATACATACCTACATGACATACATACATACATACATACATACATACATACATTACATACATACATGCATGCATACATACATACATACATACATACAACATACATACATACATACCATACATACATACATCCATACATACATACATACATACATACATATACATACATACATACATACATACATACGTACATACATACATACATACATACATACATACATACATACATTACATACATACATACATCCATACATACCAACATACATACATACAAACATACATACATGCATACATACATACATACATACATACCTACATCCATCCTACGTACATACATTACATACATCGACATACATACAGTACGTACATTACATACATACATAACATACATACATACATACAATAACATACATACATACATACATACATACCTACATACTGCGTACATACATACATACATACATACATCAATACGATACATACATACATCCATACATACATACATTACGTACATAACATACGTACATACTAACATACATACATACATACATACATACAGTGCATATCTACATACATACATCATACATACATACAATACGATACATACATACATACAGACATACATACATACATCATACTTAGCATACATACATACCATACATACATACATACAAACCTACATACATACATACATACATACATCCATAACAGTACATACATACATACATACATACATACATCCATACATACATACATGACTAACATACATACATACCTACATGCCTCCAATCGATACTCATCCGTTCAATACCATACATACATACATACATCCATACATACATACATACATACATACATACCTACATACATACATACATACATACATCCAATACATACATACATACATACATCATACATACATACAATACATACAGACATACATACATACATACATACATAACATACATACATGCATACATACATACATACATACATACATACATACATACATACATACATACAACATACTTATACATACGTACATACAGTACATACATACCTACCTACATGCATGCATACATACATACATTACATACATAAATACTACATTACCTGCATCATACCATACATACATACATACATACCATACATACATACATACATACATACATCCATACATACATACATACTCATACATACCTACATACAACATACATACATTCCTACAGTTCATACATACATCCCTCCATACTATCATACATACATACATAAATCATACATACATACATACTAACGTTACATACATAAAAACAAAAAATACATACATACATACATACATACATAATATACATACATTACGTTACATACATGCATACATTAGCATGCATACAATACATACATACATACATAACTTAGCCTACATACCTACATCCATACAATACATACATACTCTATACATATCCTACATGCATACGTTACATACATACATACATACATACATACATACATACCTACAATACATACCATTACATACATACATACATACATACATACATACGTACATACTACACATACATACGTACATATCATAACATACATACATACATACATACATGCATACATACCATACATACATACACTACATACATTACATACATTACATACATACCATACATACATACATACATACATGACATGCATACACACTACATACATACATACTACATACATACATACGCATCCATACATACATACATACATACATACATACAGACATCCATACATCCATACCTACATACATAAAATACATACCATACATACATACATACATCTACATACATACATACGTACATCATACATACATACAGACATACATACATACATACATACATACATACATCTACATACATACATACATTACATACATACATACATACTGTATGGGATGAAACTAGTATGTAGTGAAGTCTACATACATCCATCCCATCCATGCCATCCATCCATCTCATGCCGTCCATCCATCCGTCCCATCCATACATTCCATCCCATCGCCATCCCATCCATCCATACATTCATCCATCCATCCATCCATCCATCCATGTATGTATGTATGTATGTATGCATGTATGTATGCATGTATGTATGTATGCATGTATGTATACTTCACTACATATAGTTTCATCCCATACAGCTTGGTCTCTTTTGCACAGATAGACTATACGTTTGAGAGATTTTATTTATGCACCAGTCTCAAACTCTGTTGCCCCAGTGATATCCCGTGTAGATCTGAAAAAAATTCTGCAATCGATAACCGAAAATCTGAGTGCGGAATCGAACTCATAACATTCAAATTGTTGTCCTAATCTTTTCGCTACTGAAACCCCTAGGTCAAGGAATGATGTCGATCTAGTCGAGAAACTAGTCAGCGTTAAAATTACAAAAGATATAAATTATAAAAAACGTTGCAACTAGAAAGCCTCCAACGGTCTACGACACTCTGGTCAGTGTTAAAACTCACTAACAAGAATACATAGGATCCTTTCGTTGTACACAAAGTCCTACCTAGAAATCTCCACAGACAGGATGTGACCCGGAAATAAAGGTTTTCGACATCATACGTTTCTCAGGATGCGTACATTGAAAGCTCTTTGAATTTTCACACTGAAACCCCTAGTTCTTATGTATATGTTCTTGATATCTCACATTGTTTCCTGTATTTTTTTTAATCATCATAGAAAGCGAGAGAGGCCAGAATTACGATGGCCAAGAACGCAAGTAGTGCAGCATTCCTCAATGCTAAGAAGAGAGCTGAAGATAAACGATTGGTCGAAGAGTCTGGCTTGGAGGTGGAAGTCGCCTACAAAGATGATATCTTTCAGCTGCAACATCATCACCTATTGACATGTCTAGAGAAGACTACGGTATGCAAGTCATGTTATTCTACTCATGTCTTTAGTCCCTCGTTAAAGCATTTGTTCTGTACCAACTAATGTCAGTCTTAACTTTTGCTATATCAGGAAGTTTTCTACTAGGTGCGTTTTATGTTCATATTTGTCTAGTCGTCCCGATTTGGAAGTCTTACTCTTTCCCTTTTTCCATGGAGATTTTACAAAAAGCAATTTTTTTAATACTATTATCAAGCTTTCACCGTAGAGATACAGACTTTGAGACGCATGCGCGCGGATTCTGTGGTCAACTTACAACCACAACCTGAAAATATAAGGTTTTAAAAAACAGGACGAGCAGTTCCTGCAGCTGAACTAAATCATCTATGTCATAATTACTAAACTGTGTGAAAGTAGTTTAACAAACAACAGAGACGCAACATAAAAACCGTGCACGAGCTTACAGTCTTTGCTAAGGACTGGGACTGTCAGTGTAAACATGCTAATAAGCTCGCTTTAATTGAAGATCGGAATACTTATGGTATTATGCCAGACGTGGAATGAAGATGAACTTCAAATGGACAACGAACAGGTGGAGAATTACAGCAATGACCAAATAAAAAAACTTGACTTCTAAAGTGAGTTTGTGCGCGGCACACATTTATAAACTATATAAAAATTTGGCGGCGTCAGTGGCTTAGACGTTGCAAGTCCGACCCTTAATTCCACCGTACCACGATCGAAATCCACTGCTGGCAGCGTGAATTTTATTCATGGTAGGTATCGCAGGGTACCTGGATGTATGTCCTGGGAAAATGAAGACGGCCGGCGTAGTACTGACTACATTACCCACCTAGTGCCGATTGGTCTGTAAAAATATGGGTGCTTTTCCTAAATGCCCGATACGCTTAAAGGCGTGAAAGGGATCTTTACTGTACTTTATATAAAAATTTAACTAGTTTCTTTAATACTGCAAGATTAATCTACAGGACATCCTTATTATTATTTTTTTTAAATTCTTTTGCATAACTGTATATTTCAGGACCGAGAATTTGTAGAGATGGAAATGACGTTTAATGGACCATCAGAAAAACCCTCAGAATCCCCACCACTATCGCCAGAACCTTCTCCAGATTCCAAAAGGAAAATAGGCTGTTGTGGCAAAAAGTTTTCACCATCTCGAAAGTTGCTACAAAAGAAGGTAAAAACTCTAATTACTTACATAGCTACAACATTGCTAAGTTTTTTTTTTTTTTAATAGCAGTTCGGATAAACTCTTCGGCTTCTTCTGTTCTCTACTCATGGAATGCCTCGCAGCGTCGGGTGATGAAGAGATCTCTAGAACACGGTATTCTGTTCACTTCCTATGTAATACTTTTCAATGTCTGTTATTTCCGCGGTCCATGTTCTGTGTGGATTTCTGGAGCTGTTATCTTCGTATCTGAATAACATTGCTCTCTGCAGTGTCCTGTCTGATGTCAGTCTTGTTACATGGCCAACCCACTTGATCTTTTGTCTACCAATAAAGTTCAGCTGTACTAAGGGAAAATGCAAGGTACATTCTTTCCTCCGCTAGCAGGCGAACATTTCATTGGCAAAGTTTACGTACCCGATTTGCTCTCCTATTAATGTCTTTATTAGGACGGTGACTGTTATTAGTGCTCGGATGTAGTAAATAAGAGTAAAGGATCCCTTACACCAGCCAGCAGGGAATCCTGAATATGATGTTAGACTCACATTTTATAGACCAGTCGAAACTCGAAGATTGATATGGTCAAGATCACGATGGTGGCCTAAACTTCACAAGGCGTTACCTTGTGTGAGTTAAGATTGGGTCGACTTTAAAGAAAACATCCGTCAGAACTCCAGAGTAGCTTCTGTATAATTTTGGTAAACGTCTGATAAATTTTCAGAAATATTCACCATTTTAACCTTGCTAAACTGGAGGTATCACTACAGACGAAATAGCTAGGACAACCCTCCAAGCAGTGAACCTCTCGCTTAGAGAAATCAGTCTCAGCCCACTGTGAATGAACGTTAAATTATGCCAGTTACAGGACTGCCAGGAGACGCCACACTGCACGAAAAATGCGTGTGTGTTATATAGATAAATAGAAGAGGTGTTATTCGGTCACAGCTTTAGCAACATTGCCTGGAAATTAAGGGCTGCTTGTGTGATACTGACCACATCACCTACCAAGTACTGATTGGTTTTAAACCCCCCCCCCCCCCCCCCCCCCCCCCCCAATGTATAGGTCTAGCCCTTGCTTGCTTGCTTACTTGCTTGCTTACAGAAGAGAAAAATCCTGCTAATATTTTGACCATACAAGATCATAAATGAAGAAGTAAGGAGGAAAACAAAGAGGCTCATCAATGGCAAACATCTAAGGATGAAGAAGTAGACTGCTTGGTCATGGTTGCTAAGATGGAATGTAAAATAACGTGGGATACCATAAATGGAAAAGCAACAGACAAGCAGCAATGGAGTTTGAAGACCTTTGTGTTATCAGGGGCAAGCTGGGGATATAAATCCATTGATAGTGATCGCATTTCTCTTTTTCTTCTTCTTACTCACATTCTTCTTCTTCTTCCTCAGTTCCTCTTCTACTGCTTCTAGGGAGATATAAGGTTTTGTTTGTTGCTCCACTGTCCGCCTCGACTATAGACACATCGCGCTGTTGTAGGGTTTTTCTGATGCTGTCTTTCTATCTTAATCTTGGTCTTCCTCGTGATCTTCGTTCATCTCCTCTTTTGGTATGGTATGGGGTCACAAGACACTCTCTAAGCGGACACACTTTTTTATTTACTGTCTCCTATGACCTCATTCCTAATTTTATCTTTTCTGGTCACTCCTGCAGCCTTTTAATACATCTCATTTCCATTGTAACCAATTTTATTTTCTGGTTTGTTGTGAGTGACTACGTCTGGTTCAAGCAATATGGGGTTAGAATTAATATGCTTAGTTACCACATTAACAACTCCAAATTTTAACTCTACACATTTTCAATATGCAGTTCATCCTTTCTAATCCGTCTTTCCTGCAGAAAAGGGATTTGCCTTCGAATCGCAGTTTTGAGCACCAAGAATTAAATGATGTCAGAAAGCGCCCTTCTTCAGCTTCCCATCATAGGGATTCCTGGTCTAGTGCAACCAACGTGGTGGACATACAAGCATTCTCAAACACAAGCTACACCCGCGGAGACAACGGATTTAGCAACAACAAAGCCAACAGCATTCAGAACTTTAAAAGACATTCACAAACAAACTTCACAGGTAACTCCAGAAATGTCAACACATCTTCCTGTAGCGAGCAGAACATGACGGAGCTAACATCCACCACCCACGAAAACGTTACTGCTGCTGTAATCACGAATCCCAGCCCGGTGGTGGGTAGTCATTCAGTTCCTGATATTTTACCAGCCAGTGGCTCGTCTTTGCCTTCTTCATCCAACAAAAGAAATATGATTAGGATTTCTACTTTATAACTTGTTGTCTTTATGAGTATTTCTCTTCTAAAATCAGATAGACAGTTTGCATGGATTAAAGTTGTTATGTGAATTTTTGTGTTGTTCAATGTTAGTGTATAAACAAAAAGGAAGGTTCACGTTTAGAGGATCGAATTTCTCGTATCCTTTCAAAGAACAGCTTGTCGCACAAAACATGAGATATATAGCTCCAGTGACGTTCCACGCGAATATCCATCAAAACTGCACTCGTGAACTGAACAGTGTGAAACGAACCTACGACTTTCAGAGCGCGAGGCAAACGTCTTCATCACTTAGCCTCAAATAATTCTGTGTCATTCCAATGGAGCACATAGAGCTAAAGACGTATTTTTACGCTCGTAATATGCCATTAGATAATTATTGCATTATGTGGTCAATGTAATACCGACAGCCACTATTTCATGGAGTATGTCATGGTACTATTTCTAGTTGCATAGACTAATGAGTTACTGTTAGCAATGGTTATTAGTTGTGCTATCTTCGGGCACAAACTATGCCATGGACATAAGCATTCAAAGGCTAATCTGGACAGGAAATGCATGAAGTCAGATGCGTCAGTCAAAAAGATGCAAATATCACAGCCACATTGTACATAAATACCGTGCAGTTACATCTAAAACACAAACAGATGAATGAAAAAGAAGATGCCTGACGAACAATGTTCGGCAGTAAAGTAGAGGACCCTATTCCACGGCTTCAGGTGTATTGAGCACATAGGATTATACCTTTACTTTACAGAACAATCAGCATTGGGTGGGTAATGTGGTCAACATTAAACCTGTCGCCTTTACTTGCCAGGACTTCTTCTATTACTCATTTAAAGCTGGGTCGACCTGGGAGCTAAGGTCTTTTTTTTAAAGAAAAACAATATTACAGCTCCATTAGCACCTGGATCCCTGACCTTCGGAACCGCAGGCAGGCGTTTTAGCCGCTACACCACGATGGCTTCCATTTTTAGAAGACACAGAAACATAATGTTACGGAATTGAAAGCATTTATTGCATTTTTTTTTTTTTTTAATGTGGTGGCAACAACGGAGTATTTTTAGCAATGCACAATCCCTACGTTTTCTTTTCTCAAACAAAATATAGCAACAGATACTCATACATGAAGGAGTTAAAATGGGAAAGTATGGAGAATAAGTAGTAGTTCTTCTTCTTCTTCTTCTTCTTCTTCTTCTTCTTCTTCTTCTTCTTCTTCTTCTTCTTCTTCTTCTTCTTCTTCTTCTTCTTCTTCTTCTTCTTCTTCTTCTTCTTCTTCTTCTTCTTCTTCTTCTTCTTCTTCTTCTTCTTCTTCTTCTACTTCTTCTTCCCTTTCTTTTGTTCACCGGCTGTAAACTTCGTAGGAAAGTCCTGGTTGTTGGCCTTTTTGGATTTTGGCTTACTGCCAAGGCCTGAGTATTGCGTGTACATCGGCTTTGCTGGTTTATTTGTGTGCGTTTGGTTGTTCCTCTTTGCTCCGGCAGATGCGCTACGATTTCAAAGGAAACTCCCAATAAGTCAACACCTACGGCATGCTTGTTGCGGAGGCAGTGGGTCTGTTCTTGCTTTCCCCCACAATGGGGCCCAAGAACCCACACAGGTAAAAAAAAAAAAAAATGTTCATATACAAAATACAAAAGAGCTCATATGAAGACTGTAATTGCAAACAGCAAACAAAGTATATGTTTGAAATGAAGAAGCGTACAAAGAAGCGTATGGTGAGTTGTTTGGTACTGACATAGTTAAACATGTCCTGTTCAATTTTATTCTGTAATGAGCCATTCAAAGAACATTTAGTACAATTTCCAACTAATATGTGCTTCTGTGAATCCATTTGTAACTGTTAATATAACATTAGTCCAAAATGCGGTTACATGTTTAAAATTAATTGCAGTATACAAGTTGTAGAGTTATTTATTGGAGGTTAACTCTCGGAAAATGAGAGTCATCGACAGACTTTAAATAATAATTATAACATAAATTTTTGGAAAGCAATGAATGACTTTCCAGACTGTTGCCAATTGTGCTCTGATGTGAACGGTGTGCAGTTGAAGGTAACTGGGTGGCTTGGCTGTGTTGTAGTGCAGTAAAGGAATTGCCTTTCCACTGGTCTCATTTTCGTAGCAACGGTAAAGGTTGAATAAGTGAAATTGAACCCTTCTAAGGCTACACACTGGGAGAAATTAACACCTGGTGACGCAAAGAGCAACTTGTCACGATCTAGATGAGAGTCCACTGGGTACAAATTTCAGAAACCCCGTTCAGCCGTAAAGCTATATTATGACCTCGGAGGGTTACTTGTAACATGAGGTCCAGCCCAGGTGGAGTGGAGTTCGTAGCCACAATACTGGCTTCTGATTACACTGTCGAGGTTGAACATGTAACCACTTTCTGACTCATTATGTGCATATGCACTTTGAACACTTTCCTATTTAATGTATGTCAGTGTTACATTTTCCTACCTCTTATATTGCAACACTGTTTAATAATTTGTTAATCTCTTGATTTGGTTGTGAACTGTTGCATTTGAAATGTGTGCTGAGTTCAGAAATATAACGAATATTAGTAAATGCTGTACCTCGCATGAGGTCCATTATTTTTTTCAAGCTCCCAAATTAGCTCCAGTAAGGTCAATTCAACTAAAATGTGTGTTTTGCACTACTATGTTTTGCATCTACATCGACAGTATATGCAAGAATGCCAAGCACATGAAC